CCACTCTGTGCCATACCAGACGCCCAGAAATAGCCACATGCAGCTCAGCCCAGCTGTCACATCAAAGAAGCCTCCTCACTGCTGAGCACTGTCTTGTGCCACCTCAGCCTGGCAAGGCCCTGGCATGCTCAGTGCCGAAGTGTGCCTCCAAATAAGCAGGCCAGCCAAATCCTCAGGGCTGGGGCTGGAATGCTGACATCAGCCTGGGACATGTGCTAGAGACTCAGGCAGTCTGAGCTGGCCACCAACACTCCAGCACCGGGCTACTGCTGTACCTGAACATGGGGGTTTGCATGGGAGTGGGAGAGTAGATGAATTTTTTAAAGTGATGCTCTGTCAGTGGTTGCACTCCCCTGATGGGGTGAGAGGAAACCCCTTCCTGTCAGCATCACAGCTTTTTGCAATAGCTTAGTTCTCCTCTCTCCCAGACCTGCCCAGGGTTTGCATCTTCCTGCCAGCTACCCTCCCTTATGCCACTTGTGTCTCTCACCCTGCCCTGCTGGAAGCTGTGATGAGGCCTAGCTGTCCCTAAGGTCATGTAGGGGAAAGCAGGGCCTGCAATGTGGTGCCTGCTCAGAACCAGGGCCTCTTGCATGCCAGGGTTTTGGGGTGGGCAGCCCAGCCTCTGCCACAGAGCCAAGTGCAGGGAACTGAATGTTTTAGCTCCTGTACTCAAGGAAGTGTCTTCCCTGTGGGCAGCCAGTGTCCTGCTGTCTGCCTGAGACAGGGACCTGCCCACTTGCCCTCACCGCATGGATGCCTGATGCCATGATTTTTAATAGCAATGCTGTTAACCATTTCATTGCTGGCCACCACCTAGCTAATGCAGAAAGTCCTCAGACCCAGACTACCTCCATATGACACAGGTGCCTGAAGTCCTACATGCCCAAACTGCTGCCCTCCCCCTCACCTTCTGTGCTGTACTTTTTTTTTTTTTGTGGAAAACTTTGTATCCAAGATCAAATTAGCCAAATCAGTTCTGAATTCTTTCTACTGAGTAAAACTCAATTGTTCAAACACCATATGTGGCAGTACAACCAACAAGTATCCTGCACCCCAGACTTTTCAGCTGGGGGCTTTAGATACTCCCAGATCCACTGTCGGGCATCCTACATACAGGACCAAGCATGGAGGCTTGGGGTTTGGATGCCCCCCAAGTCTCACTTGCTCTTGGCCAACAGCCACAGGAGCAACCTAGGGAGGAGTCTCCCATTTCCATAAAATAGGTGTGTAGCTCAGACCCTCCCACTGGAAGCTGGCCACTGGGAAGCTAATTACAAGACTCTCATAGGGTGGTCTGGCAACAGTGCATGGGACAGGGGTGCACCCTCCACTACACAGTGCCATTCAAGTCCGTCTTGGTCTGGGCAACAGACCTTGATCTTAGTCCACACCTTCTGTACTGTACTTACACAGGAGTTCATGGCTCACAGGAACAGAGAAAAAGGCAGAAAGTCAGTGAATTTGCTGGGAAAAGGAGTAACAGGGCCACAGTCCTACCCAGCCACTCACCCCTCCCCCATCACAGCCTCCTGTATTGACTCCTGAAGGCTTAGATCAAGCATAGTGGCTTCTTAACCTGGCAGGGGAAATGCCATGTATCTGTATCCATGAAAGCAATTTTGCTGAACTGCACTGCACGAGAACTGCTCTTCTGGCGTGGTTCAGTACCCGCTGAGGAGTAGCAGCATTAAGCCCAGTTTATGAAAATGGGAGTCTCCTCCCTCGCTTGCTCCGAGGACCTTATGGCTAGCAAGAAAAACTTGGGGGCATCCAAGCCTCTGGGCTTGGGCCTGCAAGTAGGATGCCCGCCAAAGGTTTTGAAGCCCCAGGTGTGGGTGGAATATGTTTGCCTGTAGTAGGGCCACTTATGGTTCTGGACTCTTAGATTTGGAATTAGTTTTGGCTAATTTGGCCTCAGATACAAATTTTAAAAAACCAAAAAAAACCCACATAAGCAGCCTGCTGCTGCAGACTGACCTCTGGGTGCTGCAGAATCCTGGGCTTTGCCCTGGGACTTGACCCATATGGCCTGCAGTACATGCAGGCTCCAGACCTTGGGCATATAGGGAGCACACCTGGGGGCATGTGTGCCCATATGTTCCTGATCTCTAGAGCCTGCCCTTCCCTGGGTTCCATTGCCCTGCTCAGCCAGAAGCATTTGGAGTTCTCAGGATCCCAGATGAAGCCCGGACTCTTCAGCATTGATTGCTGTGCTCTTCTTTTGCAGCAGTGAAGGTTCATAGGGCATGTGTGACAACCAGACGCCCTTGCTGTAGGTTACAGAGCAGGGGCAAGCCAGGGTGTAGGGCTGCAGGGAGGAGTGTGAGGAGCCCCAAAAACCAGCTGCTGCTGAGGGGGGCAACACACTGGGAATACTGCTCTTACAGTGTATGTGAATAGCTCTGGATGGCCCTGGGCTTGTGGGTGCTGGTGAGGGAAGGAGCTATACCTAGCTCCTTCCCTCACCAGTGGCAAGTGCACAAGATGAAGGTTGTCCTGGATCTAGCTTTGACAGCAGCAGAGAGTACCATAGCTCCTTAGGGATCTTGCCACCCCAGGGACCCATTACCAGAGAGCTGCTGCTGACATCTGTCAGGGGTGAGCTGCCATGATGCCAAGCACAGCACTGTACTAGCATACACAGTCCCAGTGTTAAGGTTACCAACATCTTTGGCTTGTTAGAAGCTGGCATCTCCCTTTGAGCTCCCATTCCCCCATGACACTTCTGGTTCAACTCTTCTGTGTATGGAACCCCCTGCCCCTCTGGGACACCTCTAGGCTGTCTCCATGCTCCTGGCCGGGCAGCAATAGCCCTGTACTCCCAGGCCGCCTTGGCAGAGGTGAGCAACAGCAGCTCCAAGGGTTGCAGGCTGAGGAGCCCCCAGCAGCGTGTGAGGCAGCACATTGCTTCAGCCCTGCTCGCTCCCCATGCCGGCCAAGCCGGATAGAGCTCTGGAGGGCTTCCAGCCAGGCTGCTTATTAACAGAACCCCCTTCCTGTATGTGACACTCTATTTACAGAACCTCCCTTATCCCACTAACAAAAGGGAGAAGAAAATAAACTTCACCAGGCAGCTAGGGTTGAGCCTGCCCGTCCCCCAGCACCTGGGGCAGGCAGGCAGGACTACAGCCCTTTACCACTGCGCACTGTTTTTTCAACACAGCCCCCAGCTTCCCCACAAGTCCTTCTGCTCTGGTTGAGGAGTCTGAAGTCCTAGCTGGCTTTTTCATTCATGCTAACACAGCACATTGTGGTAGTGTTACCCATGCATCCAGACTGCAGGCTGTGGGCACTCGAGCTGGCATCCCCACCCTCTGTGCCACAGCTAATACCCCCAGGGTGGACCCTTATACTTTGGATCCTGACTTGCTCCTTGTCTCATCATAAGCATCCATACCCTCATGGGTGATAATGCCAGCGAGGCACACAGCTGCATAGAGGGCAGTACCTGGGACCTTCCTCTCCCTGTCCAACTGCTGCTGAGGTTGGCACCCATCAGTCTGAGGCCTACTCCCCCCTCAGCCCAGTCCACCCCCAGGCTCAGCACTTGGGGGGCCCAGTTTGCCAAATGAGTTTGGCACCAAAAGCTTTGTGGAATTGGGCTCCCCTAAAGTGGGGGGATGCTATTTCCTCCTGTTACCTCCTGCCCCCTTCCTAGGGGAACCTGACATCCTGTGTGCCCTCCATGATGCGCCTTACCCTGTGAGGTCAGAGGCAGGAGCTGCTGTGCTGTTACCCATGGTGGGAGCTGGTCCCTGCGCATTGTTCTAGCTGTACAGGGCATCTGGCAGTTGCCGGTGTCCTGTTCTCAGCCCATGGCAACCAAGTGGCTGTTTCTGCAGGGTGCCTGGGTGCAGGGAGTTTTACTGTGAGGTGGAAGGAGGGCTGGGGGGTGGGGGATTAGCTGACCAATTTGTAATTGTTTCTAGTTAATAATTGGAGGGGAGCAGAGCCCAGCCTAGTGGAAAGCCTCCCCCCAACTCTGTGGCTTTGGTTACAGCAGTCGGATCTTATCAGGGTTTCACAGTACATTAAGCTTTACAAGTCACTTGTAAATCAGATCAGGAGTGTGATAAGTGCAGAGCAAGAGGGTCCCTGTGGGGAGGGGAGGAGTTAAGAGGTGGGAGTTTTTTAGCTTGGAATAAAGTGCCAGACTTTTCCCTCCTGAAAGACAAAGGGCTGGTTTGCCTCTGGAATCCAGGTGGAGAGGGGGAGCCAATGTGTGCGACCCTTCCCCTCTGCATTGCAGTGGCACTTTCCCCCCCCGACTCCTTCTTAATTCTGGTGCCCCAGGGGCTACAGTCCTATGCAGGTCTGAATTGGCCAAGCAGGGAGCAGGCACTTTTTGTGCCAAGCCCACAAGTGGGGCAACTTTCCCCTTTGCAAAGTACACCTCCAGCAGCAGAGCTGTGACAGCTGGGGAAGCATAGCAGCCCCTCCTGGCCAGAGGCTCAGCCCAGCCTGTGTCCCAGGTGAATGCAGTACTTCAAGCCCCTTCAAGCCCAGCTTGGGATGGGATTGCTTCCCTGAGGAGCAGAGCTAGCTAGGGGACAAGGGGCACCCTTGGGGCAAGAGTGGACTGGGAAGGAATAAATAGAGTGACCCACACACGTAGGCAAACATCTTCCACCATCCAGGCAGCTGGCTCTGTCTCTGGCTACTTGGCTGAAATGCCCTTTGGACAGGCACCTCTGTGCTGGGCCAGTTGTCTACCTGCACATTTTCTCTGGACACAGGTGAAGCAAACAGGCAGCAGCCCCCTTGTCCTGAGGAGAGGTTTGCTTCCTAAAGCAAACATCTTGGAGGCAACAACTGCTGGCTTATGTCCACTGTCCGTTTAGTTCCCCTGAGTGCTGCCCCATCAGCGCATGCCCCTTGCCCAAGGCACTGGTGACCCTGTCCTCTCTAGGGTGCCAGGGCAGGAAAGCCAGGGAATACCAGGCAAACTCACTGCACAAGACGAAGTCAGTATAGAACAAAGCTAGGCTGGGACTTACCAAGTGCCGGGAGTGGGCGCACGGGAGGCTGGCTGTGCTGCAACGTAGCTGGGGAGTGCTGGAGGGGCAAGCGTCCTGTCTATAGCTGGGTAGAAGGGGAATCTGGCCCCATCGCCCCGTGCAGGGTGGGATGGATTCTGCAGACCGAGAAAGCGAAGATCCACCCTGGGCCCGCCTGTGGGACCAGCAGGAGCTGCTGTGCCTGTCCCTCCGTCTCCCTCTGCAGATCAGCCAGCCCTGGGACAACTGAAAGTTTTTTAACCGGAGACTAGTCTAAGTAGTTGCCTTTAGAGGAAAGTAGGAGGAGCTGGGCAGCGAGTGGGTGGCACCCTGAGCCCTCCATCTTGGGCTGGCCCTCTGATTGGCTACAGGACTTGACACAGGCTGGAGCAGGCATGGGGAAAGTGGAGGAAAACTGGCTTTAATTTCCCTTAACTCCTTTTGGGCACAGGCAGCACATTCCATCGTCTGCGGGCGCAGACAATGGCTCTGCTGGAGGAAACAGGCACAGAGGCTTGCTGCCCTGCCCAACACTGTGCCCTGAGCTGCAGCCCGGTGGAGACCCTATCTGTCTGCCCCATGGCAGTGTGACACCACCAAGTTAAAGCCAAAGAGGACTCAGCCAGGAAGCTGGGAGTCATCTGTCACCTGCTTGGAAGGTGCTGAGCAGTGCTGCCCCTCCCACCCTCCTGTGCCCAGTCTCAGAGAACCCTGAGGCCCTGATTTCCCCTCCCCTTCTGGGAAAAGGGATCCCTGTGTCCCCTCAGGCCTGGCCCCCAAACAGGAGCCCAGAATGCTGATCCACCTTGTCTCCAATGCTGGGATCTCTGGGGAGGTAGGGATGTAGTAAGATCTCTGCTGTGGGCTGTGCTGCACCCTGGGCTGCAGCAGGCATGCTCTCAAGCCAGGGGCAAGAGGTGCCATGGGGCTGATGGAGCTGGTGGTGGCTAGCAAGTAGCAGGTGCAGTGACCTACTCATGTCTGGCGCTTTTGCTTTAACCCCAGTTGAGGGCTCGTTGGGATCTTAGGTCATGGAAGCTTGTGTCTCCTGCCTGTTGGCAGTAGTGGTCTTCGAAGTCCTTCCCCATGGGGTTTACTGAGGTAATAAATCAGTAAAAACTGGGAGTGGGGGTGCTGTGAAGATGTGCCATGGGGCCCTTAGCACTGAGTTGCTGACTACAGCTGACAGGCCATGGGACCCTGTTTGTTGCCTGGAAATGAGCCCCTGACCCTGTTCAGGTTGGTGGCAGAGATCACAGTGAGTCCATGGGGCCTTGCTTCTCTTCCCCTTGGTACAGTCTGTGTGTGTGCTGTTCCCAGGGCAGGGGGTAGTTGGGACAGGCCTGGGGTGAGGGTTGAGGTCACATCTGGGGCAGGGAGAGGGCTCAGTGTGGGCCAGTGTCACTGTGCAACATGTTGACTCCTGAGCATGCTGAGCTTAGTGACCAATGGGATGGGGGATTCGCAGCCCAGGAGGGTGACAAGGTGGAATTGTCCCATCTGGACATCCAGAGCATCAGTGAGTTGAGCACACGGCACTCTTGTGGCATGTAGGGAACAGGTGTCCATGTCACACAGCTCATTGGGTTTGGTGACTAACTCGCCTGCTTGTTGGCAGGTTCAAGGCAGCCAGAGTGGTTGCTGGGCCTGCAGAGCCCCCTCCCCTCACCACCATAGTCAGCCCCCTGCAGAACAGGCCAAGATATGGTAGTGGGGGCAGTGAACACCCTTCCACCCAGTCACTCCTGTCCAGAGGCTGCCAGCCTTCCCCTCCTCTGCTTTACTGCAGACAGAGCTGGTGGCATCCGAAGCTGTGAATGAGGCTGGGGGGGGGGTCATACAAATAATGACCCATTTTGCATGAGGAAGTTAAGCTGTGTACCTGGGAAGTGCCAGCTGATACGTGGCAAGCTGCCACAACCTGCCGCAGCCATGGCACTACCTGCCCTCAGCACCCACACCTGCTGGATTAGTGCTGTCATTGTTTGTGTAGCTGGTCATGCTAATAGTTACTGAAGCGGGAGGGAAATACACCCTTTGCAGAGCCAAAAGTGCCCCAGCACCCCACAGGCCTGCTGTTTGCTTAGCACCACTCCTCCTCACCACAATGAGAACCTCAGCAGCGTGGCACCTTGGGTCACAAGCCTCCCTGCATGTGAGGAACATTTTGTTGCTGCAGCAGGAGTTTTGTTGCTGCCTTTGGCCCTGACAGCTCTCTATTGCTCCCACTGATGGTTCAGGGAAAAGCCCTGCAGCTGTGCCCAGAGTTTAGTGGCCACTGAATCCCCAGCATACTGGGGTGAAATGAGACCCCAGCCCCCATTCATACTGGTAGCAGCAGTGCCTAGGAAGGGTGTTCAGAACCTCACGAGCATGTCCATGGTCTGGCGTACTGTAGCATCTCCTATGAACAGGGCAAGCGAACCTGGTGCCACCTGCATAGGTGTATTGCCATGGATGGCAATACACAGCGTCACTCCTGTGCCCTTGGCAAGCATACTTCATGTGCGCGGCTGTCTGGTTCATGACATAGTATGTGCAGCCAAGCAAAGCCTGTAAACGTATGATGCAGTGTTAAAAACACAGCTTGATGCCCAGGATTCCTTGTGACCTGTCAAACTCCCACAAGCTCCTGGTTGGGGCCTGTTCCCCACCTCTCTTGCACACACACATCCCTTTCCTCTGTTGCTATGCTGCTTTCTCACTGTCATTGAGGCTTGACAGAAGGAGCAAGCTCCCAGCTTGCTACTCCATTGTCTCTAGTTTTTGTGTCAAGACTCTTCTTTAAAGGGGGGAGAATTCTTATGCTAGGGCTTTGCTTTGACATCTGCCTGCTGTTGAGCTAAAATGTTATTCATTTTGCAGAATCCCCACGTTGGGAGGGAAAGGCTGAGTTTTGATTTTTTTTATGAGCAAGTCATTTCCCTCACTGGACATGTAGGCACCTTTGGGTTGGAACCCAGAGACAGGTGAGTTGTGCCTTGCAGTCATGGTCTTGATGTAGCCTGATTATTCAGAGGCATAAATTACCAATAAAAGGCCCTTTATGTATGTATGGCATAACCATGCCCAGAATCTAAGCTTTCATTGTCTGTAGACCTTATGGTGGGGAAGAAGGTACACCTTAAAACTGTGAACTGGGTGTAGTAGATGTAGCTATGTCTGCCTGAGTCTGCAGACAGCCTGTAACAAAAGCGTTGACAAAAATGTGTTCCACTTCAGTCATTTCAGTGGAGTGCCTGAATTGTTCTTGAATTGCCAGCCCCCTTAACCCTGTCCTGGCAGTCATTTCAGCAGCACATGTCAAGTGCTTCCCTCCTGGTGATGGATGCAGGCAGAGGCATGTACTGAGTGGAGGTGACCTACAGCTGTTCATTGCCATAAAGTAGGGGTTCTCAAACTGTGGGTCGTAACCCTTCGGGGGGTCACGAGCAACTTAAAAAGGGACTGCAAACTTCCCAGGGGGTACGCATGGCAGCATGGGGAAGCGGTGTGCAGCGGTAGCACGGAGTGGTGGATGGTGGCAACAGCTGCCACGTGAGAGCTCCCTGTCCCCTGCCACCACCATCCAGCACTTGGGGTCACAGTATCACAAAGTTTGAGAACCCCTGCCATAAAAGTTTGCTTGAATGGGGTAGCAAGGAATGCAAATACTTTCCCTCCACTCCCCCCAAACGTTAAGTTACCTCTGTCCCTGCCATAAAAGGAGAGGGAGAGGAGAGCTTCACTCCTCTTTTCCACTACCAGGAGTCTTCTACTGCCTTTGAGGTGTCAAAAAACTAACCTGATTCCCCTGCAGCTCTGGACCCCACAGCCCAGAATGGCCAGATTGCCACCAACAGTCCCCCAGTGCCATTCAAGATGGCAAGTGTCTCTGGCAAACTGAAAATGAGGGGCATAAGAAGGTTATGCTTTCTTACTGTAAAATCACAGTAAATAACCAGTGTTCCCTGTTTGGCAAGGGTGGGGGGAGGGAGAACTTGAGAAGGCAGTGCTACATAATCCAGGTACTTTGGGTTAGCTGTATAGGACATAGGGTCTTGACAATGGCAGTTTTGGGACAGGAAGTCACTGCTAGGGCGGCCACTTCTCTCTGGATTTCCTCAAAGAGATCCGAATAAAATCCTGATGCAGAATCACAGCACGCGCTCCCCTCCCCCACCCCTGGGTAACCACAAAAATGTCAAGCTGAAAATAATATATTGTCTCTTTGTTCTCTTAAAAGCTGTGTGTTTAGTTTTCTCCCCTGCCTGTATCTTAGGTAAATAAAGGCGCTGATTAGTCGTGCTCTATTCCACTTTTATAGCACTCTTGTTCCTTATCACCCCAGATTAGGGGCCCCTTCTCCATTTTGGTGCCCCGTACAGAGCAGTAGGAGCAGGAGAGTGGGCAAAGTTCGAGAGAAAGGTAGGCTGCAGGCAGGCACTGGTGGAGGCCCTGGGGAATTGAATGTGTGCTTTATCTAGGTACCTGTTTTACTCTGTCCCCTGAGCCTCAGTCTCATGACTAGATCCTCAACTGATCCACAGTCTGTGTACAAGGTGTGAGGTGAATGAGCTAGCAGTGCTTGGGCATCTCTTCCGCTTGAGGCTCCTGGTCATAAGCTGTGTGTGGCATGAGCAGGGACTGGGAGCTGTGGGTGGGCCTGTTGAATCCGAATGTAGAGTAGGGCTCATACCTGCCACCTGGTACCAGTGAAAACTTACATTTAGGCAAAGTGGAGCTTGTTAAGCATTGCTGGGGGATATCAACCTTTGAAACCAAAGCCTTGCATCCCAGGAGTGTTGACAACAGCATCCTTTCAAACAACCTGCAGCCCTGTGGGCTTGGTGAGCCCCTCTGAGCACCAGGCCCTGCAGCTGGCCAGGTTTGGGAGCTGAGGGTGCTTGTTTTTCAGTGGTGTTGGCCAGAACCCTGCAATGGCAGGAAAGAGTTCCCCGTGCTCTGGGGACCAGGGTGTGACTGGGCTGGCATAGCTGGCCCAGAGAGAAGGGGGACCATGGTGAGCTGGGTCAGGGCTGGGGGTGAAGGGAAAGCTTCTGAAGGGCTGCCCTGTGTGAGGAGGTGTCTGGGAAGGAAGCCAACAGCATGTTACGTCTGCTCATTTAAAATTAAACACCAACTCTAGCTGGATTAACAGGCCTCTCAGGTTTCCTAGGGTAACATGAGATTTTCCACATCCACTTGGGCCATCCAGTCCAGTATCCTGGCTCCAGCAGGGGACCCTGATGCTTCAGAGAA